GCCCCACAAGGATTCCAGTTCTGGTGTCCATTACAAATAAAGCCTCACTTAGACCCCTCCACAGAATCATTAAGACCGTGGTTACTAACTTCAACAGGTATTAACACCCCATGAACATGACCTTCTGTGCTCTTAGGGCCACACTTGAGGATTTGGATAGTCGTCAGGTCGCATCATAGACTATCGACAAAGCGAAACCAATGCGTCGCATTTAAAATATTTATTCTAGCCACACATGGATACCTCTCATATGGATGTACGTTCCAATGTGTGACCTCAGGACAATATTTTTTGATCATCGTAGATCATTTGGGTCAGTGAGGTTATATGATCTTAACTCGGCGGGTGCCCCTCATGAACGATTTAAGCATCAGCGAACAAACATCATAAGTGATTCGACCTAACCAAGGGAAGGAAGGAAAATAGGGTTACTAACATCTCAACCTAGCAACAAACGATTTACTCAGCCCTGACCACAGCGATATTCGACATCTGTTCCAGTATTCGTACCCTGTAAAATGTTCACTCATGATATAGACGAGGAGAATCATTTAATGTTCAAGTCTTCCTTACGACAACTCCTTAAAGTTATTCTTTCGAACAAAGAACTCATCAAATATTTTCTGAATTCGCAAAGTACACCAAAATGAGGCCAAGACATTGCCTTTGCTGTCACACTTGGACATCATTAAAAATGAGTCTTGTACAAAAGCGATTCAGACAATAGTCCATGTCACGGTGTCTCATTACATCAGTAAAAGTGCAGCATTTAATTTCGCTTCCTTGTGCAGTTCAAAGTACTTCTTGGGAGGCATAGCGCTTATTGCACTTAAAGCATTCTGAAGGCAAAACAGAAAGTTGAGGTATGGGATTAAGCAGAGAGATCTTTAGTTATCAAAATGTTATCCATTGATCAGTGCCAATTATACAAGACAAAGCCATTGCTGAAGATATTCTACACTGAGGCAATCACCACTTCTTATGCTGTATTCCATGCGACCAGGTTCAAAACAAATCGCCTGCGAGCTTAATCTTAAACAACTCAGGTTGGCGACAAACTGTGCACACATGCCCAATGCCATTTTAAAACACTGAGCCAATCAAATACGAGCTCTCACATGATTGGCTCAAGTAAAACTACTTACGATTATAGTCCGAATTCTTGATTCAGTCAGCGGACAAAACAGTTCGGAGGTGGTTATTCTGGACTATGCAGTCAAGGAACTTTGACGTAGTGAGTTTCATGTCTCGCGGAAAGTACTCACTTATCTACGAGGTGGCCTACACGCAGGGTAGTAGTCGCATCACCAACACCACATGGGCAATGAAACGATTCTACCTGCAAAATTACTCCTCCGTTCGATGCGCCCTTCGAGAGCGCAACATTCTCGTTCGACTTGCTCGAGCAGAGAAACAATCCCCATTTCTCACCACATTATTGGAGAGTTTTCAAATTCATGGTGCTCCTGCCTTCGTGCTGCGCAAAGGATGCGGTCTGGATTTGCAAGATCTCTTCGAGGCGGTTGGCTACTTTCGTGAATTTGAGGCACAGTTTTACGCCTGTGAGATCATTAGTGGTTTGGGGCATCTCCACGCCATGCAAATCGTGCATCTGGATGTTAAACCCTCGAACATGCTTCTCGATGATTCGGGTCATCTGTTCATCACCGATTTTGATCGGTCTTATGACGCATCTCAAGATGTAATAGCCCTCGAAAAGACAGACTTTACTGGAACATCTCTCTACATGTCACCTGAGGTGATGAATAAAATAGACATTACGCCGAAGGCTGATGTGTGGAGCCTAGGCGTTCTCGTCGCTGTCACCATGTATAGCCACTTTTCTGTAAGCAAGTGGCTGAAATCAGGTGAGCTAATATTAGGCCATGTGCCATACGCCTCGATGCACCTACGGAAATTCTTAAGAGCCTGCCTAGTGCCCAATTGCAAAACTCGTTTAGACATTAAAGAAGTCAAAGGCCTTGGTTTCTTTAAAGATATTAAATGGGAAGAGGTGGTAGATCGTAAGATAAAACCACCATACCGACCATCATATTTCAAATTTGCCATTGCTTCTGATAAGTTCCGCTTCGATCCCTATGATCCGCTCCTCCTTGCTGCTGCTTTCGGCACCCGGATTCCTCTGGTAAACCGATATTTAAGAGACGTTCATGATAAGGAGGGAGTGCGTCGGTTGATAGTGAAATCTATAAATTATCGAGATCTGCTAAGGTCCGGACTGACATCCAAGAAGATCGGCGAGCTGTTTGCTAACTTTGACTTCCAAAATTACCGCATCCTTCCATCTTCCCCTCGGCTGGAATCGGATCGAGTCCTAATAGGTGGCGAAGATGTGCCTTCTGAACACGAGCACCATGTTTTGAATGCTTGTTCTTCACCTCCAGGGCTCAATAGGTGAAACGTTATCTTATTTCTTTTAGTCCTTTGCATATGTGCAGGACGAACCAGTTTCTTTTCGTGATTTTTTATGAAAGTGCTTTTACTACCTTTAAGTAAACTGCATGTATTTATGCTCCCATGCACAAAAACTGCCTCAGGGAATTGAGTGGAGTGTTTTGTGAAGTTGATTGCACTCGTACGGGGTAAAAAGTTAAAGGCGAAAAAAGTGGGCTGGGAAGGGAAGTGTTAAGGGCAGAATCAATCCTCTGCCTCTTATGGAAAAGGATTTTGGGAGCCCTTTGGTCCTTTTGGTCTCGATTTCAAGGTTGTGTGGCAGCGTAAACCTGATTTTCTTGATGGAAGTGGGTCATCATCAACATCATCGCTAAGCCCGAAATTTGAGAGGCGAGAATGGGGTAATTGCATCGTGCGGTGTTGCACAAAATTTTGCCACTCTTACCTTGTAAATTTCCATTGAAAAGCGAGATACTTGCGAACTTCAACGTGATAACTGTCTGGGTTGTCATTTGTCTAAATGAGCGGAAGAGCAAAGGAATCAATCATCCTCGTTGTCACATTCTTTGATCTTGTGGTCAACTGTCAACACTCATAACTGGTTATAGTTTGTGATCAGGAAGGGGTCAGTAGGAGACATAGTTGATGGAAGAGGAGGGAGAAACAGGACTATGTTATTACTATCCTTTTAAGTAGTTTACTTTACTTGAATTAAATGCTTAGAAATTTTTAAATTAATTTCATCAAGTTTACACCTCAACAGATAGCACCCTTCCAACATTGCCTCAATTGCAGATATTGTAAAACAACTAGAGGCTCGTAAAACATGATAGCGATAGGCTTATTTCATCACCATCACTCTCTTCGAGCTTTGCTAAGGTTCTGGGATCCAGAGCTCAAGTACAGTCGAAATCGTGTTTACCATTAAGTAGAGGTTTGTTGTCCGCATAAACAGGATTCCCAAAACCGCCTCCCACTGTGACATTGAAACTTCAAGCTGACTACTTCCAACCAGACGTATCGCACACTTAGACATTGCCCATTTTACTGTTGCAACACAACTCTCTGCTTCATTTTTTAAAACCACTACCCTTCACTTCCTCTCCTTCCTCATCTTATTTCCGTATTTCAATCTCTTCAATCATTTCGCAGGAAAACACAGGGAGTGGTGATACAAAGCGTTAGAACACCAAGCATGGAGTTTGG